CTGTTACTCCTCGAATTTTTTTTTTAATTCCGTGTTTCACTATGTAGATTCTACAGCTGACTTTTTCAACTCCACGAAACTGAATTTCCAGACTCTCTTCCCTTTCATTTATGCTTGCAAACTAGCTATTTCTTTTTCAAGATTTTTCTTGGCCAAACACAGCCAATAAAAACCACACACCACTAGAGTGGTGTTTCTCAGTTCTCCTAGAATTCGATTTCAATAGGCACGTGTTCTACCTTCCAAGTGTTCACAGGAAGGTTTTACCAAATGTCTTGCCGCTGCATAACAAGATTGCCATTCTTTCAGCTGCCAGTTTCAGTTTCCTGACCAACCATAGCCAATCCCTAAGCCAACAACATATATTCCAAATTTTTGTTAGGGAAGGACTCCGCCTCAACATATAAACATCTGTGCTTGAACAGGCTAGCTGCTGCAGCAAACAATCCAAAATCTTATTGGCTCAATGCAATAAAAACTTTTTTTTAATCCAAGTTCAATGCAAATATTCCTGGTTTGGTGGTTCTCTTGCAAGCTGTGACTTAGTAACCCACATGCTTTTATCTTATGGCTTTGCCATTTTACAAATTCAAGGTAATCCTGGAACATTCCAATCCTCAGATGGGGGAAGAGAGAGGAGTGTAACTCAGAGGGCTTATGACCATGTCTAAAAGTGATACACATAAAGTCTGCACACATTTCTTTTTCTAGAACTCAATCACACGGCCCCAGCCTAACAACAAAGAAAGCTGGGAAAGAAAGTCTCCCCATGCTCCCAGGAAGAGGAAACAGGATTGGTGAGCATGTAGCCAGCTTTGCAGTAAATGCAGCTAGAACCACAGATTATCTTAATATTTACTTGCTAATGCAAGTAAAGATAATCAACTCTAAAATATGCAACAGAGACATATAGGAAACCCAGCCTGAATCCTAAAAACGTAGCGCACGAATATGTTAGCTAAAATGCACTGAGAATTTACTATTCTTCAGGCATTCTCCCAATTGTTTTATAATTATTAAGTTCTTGATCCTTAAAATAATCCCATGAGTGGTTGCTATTATCAAACCCATCATATAGATAAAGAAACTGAGGCACAAATGGGTTGGGAAACTTACCTGAGGCCTCACAGGTATTAAGAGGAAGGAACAGAATTTGATCCCGGGCAGCCGAGTTCTAGAGCACAGGCTCACACATTACACTGCTCAGCCCTTTCTGATTTATTCAAGAACTACTCAGATAGTTTAGGACACCATCACCTAACGGTATCTCCTCTCTTCCTCTTCCCAACGCAGAATGCCATTTTCACTCTTATTTGTACACTGGTCCCACTGATTCTCTAGGGCCTCCTCTTAATGCACACATTTACCATCCTATAACTGTGTTAGTGAGAATTTGGGAAACAGGGATTATCATCCAGTCTATAGAGTGATAAAGGAAGGGGACAAAGAGCAAATACGAGAAACACATACATTTAGAGGGTAGTAAGGAGAAAGAGCCAGCCCACACCTCACATTTGTTGGGCCCGGGGCAAGAGTACCATCAAAGACCCACATTCTACAAGTCTAAGACTTAAAAAGTTATATATTAAGCCAGCACAGTGTTAGATAAAATACACTTTATTCTTCTACCTTGAAAAATACATAATCACAACATTCTGGAATGCCGGACTGAATTTACAATTCTTGGGCTGGAAATTCCATGCCAGAATGTGGCACCCTGGGGAGAAGCTGGCGTCTGATGCCCCAGCTTCCTTCTTCTCCCACCCCTGGACCCATCCTGTACTGCAAGAGGCCTCTCAAGCAAACAGGTGGACACTCATGCTTTGCCCACAGCACCCCAGCAAATTGCCACGCCTCCATCTAGAGAAGGGCAGGCGGGAAGCCAGCTTGTGCTGTCCAAATAGGAAGTTCCTGGATCCTGAGTATTCCGAACATGGTCTAGATGGAGGGCAAAAAAGATTTTGAGTGGACATATCCTCTTGGCCCCACAGAACCCTCACACTATGGGAGTGGGTACTGCCACAGAAGGGCCAGAGCAGGACCACTCTCAGCAGAGTAGGACTGAAATCCCTAATTTCACCTCTGACCATGAAGGGGTAACTGGGGTTGGATTTATTCTCCTGCCTCCAGCAGGACATCTGAATTACAAATAATGTTAAAGGAAGTCCTTCAGGCATAAGAAAAATGATACCAGATGAGAATTTAAACTACACAGAGGATGAAGAATACCAGAAATGATAAGTATGTGGGCAAATATAAAATGTATTTTTCTCATTTATAATCCCATTGGAATGTAATTGACTGGTGAAAGATATATCATGAAAACACCAATCTACAAAAAGCTGGAGTGGCTATATTAATATCAAAGATTTCAAAGCAAAAATAATATTGTCAGGAATAAAGAGAAGCATTTGATAATAATAAAGGCACTAATATATCCAGAGGACATGACAAGCCTAAACTTTTATGTACCTAATAACAGAGCTTCAAAATACATAAAATCAAATTGGTAGGAACAAAAGGGAAAACAAGAAAATCCACAATAATTGAACTATACAGGGAAATAAAATAACCATTTTAATTGCAGATTTTAACAGTTATAACATTTCTCTATCAGTAATTGATAGACAAGTAGATGAAAAATCAGCAAGAATATGAAACACTTGAAGAATCACTTCAATTAACTTGACCTAATCAATCAACATTTATGAAACACTTCATGTAGCATCAGAATACACGTTATTTTCTGGTAAAAATGGAACATTCACCAAAATAAACCATATGCTAGATCACAAAATAAGCCTTAAAAAACTTAAAAGAGATTAAAAACCGCACAAAAGTATCTTCTCTGACCATAATCAAATTAAAATAAAAATCTCTAACAAAAAAATACCTGGAAAATCCCATAAATAATGTGTAAATCAAATTATACATATCTAAAAAACACCTGTCAAGAAAAAAATTACAAAGGAAATTAGAAAATATTTTAAATTGAATAAAAATGTAAGTAGAATATATGAAGATTTGTAAGATGCAGCTAAAGCCACATTTAGAGAATTTTTAGCATAAAATGTTTATATTAGAAAAGAATGTGTCAAACCAATGACTGAAGATTCCACTTTGAAAAACTACAAAAGATAGATCAATGGAACAGAAGACAGGCCAGAAATAGATCCACATATTTTTGGTCAATTGTTTTTGGACAAAGATACTGAGGGAATTCAAATCAGAAAGGATACGCTTTTCATCTGATGGAGCTGGAACTATTGGACATCCACACATTAAAAAAAAATTAACGTTGATTCTTAACTCCCACTCTATATAAAACTTAACCTAAAATAAATCATAGACCTAAATATTGGACCTAAAACTATAAAACTTCTAGAAGAAAACAGAAAAAAATATCTTGTGTGTTTAGATAGTCTTACAAATCAACATAACAAAGAAGATAGCCCAACTTAAGAGTTGAGCAAAAGATCTGAACAGACACATCACCAAAGAAGAATGACAAATACACACATGAAAGGGTGTTTGACTTCATTAGTCATAAGGGAAACGCAAATTAAAAACCAGGGTCACCACTACACATCCGCTAGTGTGACCAAAATTTAAAAGACTGAGTGCTAAGTGCTGGCATGAACGTAGAGTTACGGGAACTGTCGTGGATTGCTCGGGAATGCTAAAGGGCTTAATCATTTTGGAAAATGGTTTGGCATTTTTCTACAAAGTTAACCATCTACTTACCATGAGATCCAAATATCCCACTTTGAGATATATACTGCCTAGAAATTAAAACGTATGTCTGCACAAGGACTTATATTCAATGTTTATAGCAGTTTTATTCACAATAGCTAAAACCCAGAAATGACACAAATGTCCATTGCCTGGTGTTTGGCTAATAACTGTATACTTCTCAGCTATAAGAAATAATAAGTTATTGCTGTGGAATAATACAGACGAATCTCAAAATCATTATGCTAAGTAAAAGAAGCCAGACATCAAAGACTAAATCCTGTAGTTTCCACTTGTGCATAGTTTCAGAAAAGACAAAACTATGATGACAGAAAGAAAATTAGCAGTTGCCAAGGACCAAGAACGGGGGGAGAAGACTGGGTTCAAAGAGGCATGAGGAGGTCTGGGGGTGATGGAAATGTTCTACACCATGATTGTGGTGGTAGTTACAGGACTTTAAACATCTGTCAAAAGTTATCAAACAATTAATTACAATCTTACCTTGTAATACCTGAAGCTTACAAGAGAACATACAATGATAATAAGGTAACATATATTGAGCAATAAATAAAATGGACTCTGGTGAGCCTGCTGCTTGAGATCTAGAACATTATGGATATTGTCTCTACTTACGTCAACTAATTGTTTGTAAACAAAAGTGAATATGTAATCGTATTATAGTAAAAAAAATTATAGATTAAAAAATAAATACATAAAAATAAATTTAAAAATTTTGTTTAAGTTTCTTCTGTATAGCACAGGGAACTATGCTCCATATCTTGTAATAACCTTTAATAAAAAAATGAAAATAAATATATGCATGTATATGCATGACTGTGACATTGTGCTGTACACCAGAAATTGACACATTGTAATTGACTGTACTTCAGTAAAAATAAATTTTTTTTTAAGATAATCAATGAATTATATGTTGTTATATGTATATTTCATCTCACTACAACTAATTTTTCTAAAGGTGAAGTTGAAGCCTGGAGCAGGGATTCCTCTTGCCTGAGTCTAAGGGGAGTAATGAAAACAAAAACTAGTAAAAGAAACTAAAAAAAAAAAAAAGTATAATTTGTAAGGTGGTTAGAGACCCTGATTATTGTGTTAATGGAAGCCTAGGAGGAAGAATCACTAGCACAAATCAACATCTAACACTGAATGAAGGTTGCTGCTGGATTTTCTTTATGAGATGGTCAGTCAGTGGGGACCACGAGAAGAGACAGAGGAGAAGTTTAGGGGAAAAAAAAGTTTATTATACTCACAGGTCCTGGAGACAGGAGACACAGCCCATCACCCAGTGCCACATGGAAAAACGCCAGGGGAGTCGGAAGCAAGGGAGCGCTTAGACCGCGGCCTTCTTCAGGGTTTCTGCAGGAAAGACAAAGCAGGGAAGGTAAACAGCTTAGGGCTGGCTGGCTTGAATCATTTCAGCAGGCTTTGGGCTACAGGCATGGTCTCTAGTGGCCTTGGGATAATTAAGACAAAGGAATATTATCTCCTGGGAGGCAGGGCCCCAGACAGCTTAGTTTACTATATATATGTCAGGGCCATGCTCCCAGCGGAGCCCTAGCTCACCTCCAAGAATCTGCGAGCCCAGAGAGGAGCAGTCTCTCCCCAGCCAGAAAGGATTTTGTTTTAAGATGTCAAAACAGCGTAATACGCAGAATTCTTACGTGCCATGAACGATTCTGAATTTCTTGAATCTTTTTAACCTGGGTAACAAGGCCCGCAGTGAATCAAATTCTTTAATGAAGGCGTATTCAGTACCGAATGCTGTATGCCAGGTGAGGACCGGAGTGGACGATGGTTTCGTGTTAATGCACGTGCTTAACTCTTAGAAGGAGGAAGTTGAAGCCAGAGCGCTATAGGTTAAGATGTGAAGAAGCAAAAACAAAGAATGTAGGCAGCTCCTTCAAGATGTTGGCTGTAAAGAAAACAAGTAATGCAGAATTAGAGCCAAAAGAAGATTTGTTTTCGGTTCTGAGATTTTTTTAACATGTTACATAATAATATATAATTATATATATATTTATATTATATATATGTTATATATTTAATAATTATTATTCTATATTATACATATTTAATAATTATTATGTTATATAGTAACGTGCAAATGGGAAAGATATAGGGATGAAAAATATGAGTGGTTTGAGAGATACTAGATGAAAAAGGAGAACTGAAGTGAATGACTACGTCTCAGAGCCTTACCTATTTCTTAATCTGTAAAAATAGTAATCATAATCCCAAATGACAAAATTTTGGTGATGATTAAATAGAATAAGACATAGAATATTTAGTACATCTTCTAGCATTAAGTGTTGCTCAATAAATGACCATTTTATTTCTTCCACCTTCTTTATTTTTGACTCTTACACCACAACTTGCTCTAGGAAGTGCAAACCAGCTGCAAAATGTAAACTTGCTATAACTTCATCTTTGCAGGCTTTTTTTAAAATATGAATCCTTTTAAAAATATCAGCGGCAAGGGGAGCTGGAGAACTCTCAAGTAAGTTACTGAGAACCTGATAGATGTCAATGGCTAGATCCAAATGCTGGAAGCTTAGGAATAAATGCGATGCCTTTTGGAAATGAAAATGAAGGGCGGAAGAAAAGCTGAAATAAGAGAACACATTAACCCCAAGAAGAAATTTTATGGAGTTTGTTACTGGAACAGAATAACTGGTACTTTTATCTCAGATGATTGTAGCATTAAACTAAACAGACCAAAATGTTGTAAGCATCCTGATTACCTTCCTTCAGTGGCATTAGCAATGTAAATCAACAAAGCAAATGAACTCCGTGGGATTAACCGACTATAAAAATGGGGGTAAGAGTGAACACTGGATGTTTATTTTTAAAAGTTAAACTACAATAATAGCCCCAGGGACATATAAAGGCAGTCAGGAAATGTCAAAGATAAAAATGTAAATTAGAACATTTGGTTTCTTCTTAAAGCAGGCTGCCGGGTTGTCCTTTTTTTGACATTTGGAAGCCTGAAATTCTTTACGAGTCTACCCTTGACTAACATACAGATTAATTAAAGAAAAAAACAACAGTGACAGTGATATTTATTTTTTAAGAGTTCAAAGATTATGCCCTCACTGGGGATAAGTATCATGAAGTCAAGCTCTGTAATTTGACTAAAGGTAAAAATCTGTAAAGATATTTGCTTCAAATCCCCTGGAGAATATTCTATGTTGCTCAGAGTACAAAGTAGTGGCTATATTAACATCAGACTTTATTGCTGTCTGTATTATCTGTATTGTATAGAGCTGCTGGAACAAAAATGGGGCTCAGTGAAACCCAGAGAGGGCAAATTTTAGAGAACGTGGGTCTGTCTGTGCCTGAATCCCCCACGTAGACAGAGGCTTCCACACTCCACACACACACAAAGCACATATACTCACCTACACACGTGTATGTCTGTGTACAGTATGTGCATGAGTCTTTTGAAAATCTACTTAAAACACAGATTCCAGCTGCACTCAACTCAGCCCCCACTCTAGTCATCCGTGTTAATAGGTCTAGGGCTGACTCCAGGAATATGCATTTTAACTATCACCCCCAAGTGATTTTAACACAGAAGGTCTGACGACCTCACTTATAAAAACAGTTAGAGAGCAATGTTTAAGTTACTCACAATAAGAAGAAAGAATGATACTGTAATTGGTACCTTTATCTAAACTGCTCTTACCTTAACAGAGTAAGGTAATTTAAGTGATCTGATTTCCCAGCCTCTGGGTTCCTTGAGGTAACAAAGACATTCTGCCATTAGAGGTCACACTGAATAGGTTCTCTCTTGACAGAAGGAATTCATTGATTTAAATGCACATTCAAGGGGGAAAAAAGACATGCATAATTTGGCACTTCCTATTTGCCAGAAAGGTAGAGCAATTGAGAGACAACCGCTAAAAGCCTTGGCCATTTCTTGACCTGTTTCATCTCTAGTGACCTTTGTCTCCATTCTATATTATTGTTACTCCACTCCCAACCACATCCTACACAATTTACCTTCACTCACAATGACTGAAACTCTGAAGTCTTCCTGTCAAACATTCCCCTCAGTGACTACAAAGTTCTGTCCTTCCATGCTGGGCTCCTCTGAGCCCTCTGCTCCTTGACTCATCTTCCTTTGCCTTACTGCAATCCTGTCTTTACTTCTGTTCTTGTTCATTTTGGATTTCATCATCTCAACCATATTCTTGGGACTCAGTGCAATTCCTTTCTGTATTATCTATCTTTCAGACCTGACAAAACACAAACTCTAGATCAATCCACCTGGTCATTTGCTCAGGGCTCACACTCGGATGCTGGACACAGAGACACTTGAAAAACAATGCAGATGATTGCTACTATAAATTCATGACTTAGAAACCTCCACTGGGTTCTCCAGTTTCTCAGAAATCCTTCTTTATGTTACTGGTGCACAATTTCCCATTCTCCATCGTAGGTATTTCCAATCTTTGCCATGCCCCTCAAACTTCTTGAGCCCTCATTCTCAAGGGAAAATTCACCCCCAATTTCATAGAGAACACAGAGCACATGCGACAAGAACTACTAAGCTTTCCATCTCCAAACAACACATGTGCCTACACCTGCTCCTGTTACGATGGATCAAACGTGTCTTTCTCTGTCCTCAGAGAATCCTACCATTGTGCGCTCCATCCCTGTCTCTTCTTTTGTTTCTCATCTGTGAAACACCAGCAAAATTATCATCTAGCTACGGAAGGCTTGACAAGGTCCAGAAGCCTCAGTCCAGACCTTCAGAATCATAATCTCTAGATGTAGCATCAAAGAATTGTGTGTTTTTTAAGTTTTCTAGGTGATTTTTGTTCTCCCTCAAGTATGAGAAAGACTGATATCATGCCTCATCAAAGACCTACAATATTTATTTCCCCTGGTCCCTGGGTCTTCAACGTCGTCCGTCAATATTTTAACTTCCACTACTCTCTCATCAACCTTGACTGGCTGTCCCCTCACCCAGTTAGAGTCTTACTTTTCTCTATTGCTTCACAAACTTCTTGAAACAAAACGCTTTCTAAACTGACAGTCCCTTTTCAATCAACTGCCCCCACCATCACCACTCACATCTACTTGACTGACAACAATAGTCCCTAACTGACCCCATTGCTGAATCAGGAGGCGTGTTTGACGTGTTGGCAGCATTTGACTCAGTTGGCCTCCTTCCGTAGCCTCCCTTGGCCCTCTACAAGCTGCTCCTCTCTGTCCTAGCTGACTCCGGTTCTCTGTCCATTGCTTAAATTAGAGTGCTCTACAGATTTCTTCTCTTTTAATTTACATACACATTCCTGGGGAAATCCCATCCACTTCCAAGTCTTTAAATCTTACATATAATCTGATGACTACCAAATCTATACTTGAAGCTAGATTTGTTTCCTGAGCACCAGTTCCACCATCTCCATCCCACTCCCACATGCTCCCCAAGTCTGCTCCTGTTCTCTGTTCTTTACCTGAATCATTCCTGCTGCTCCTGCACCTCCACATCTGATCCATCATCAAGTCCTACTCATGTTATCTCCTAAATCTCTGCCAAGTCTATTCCCTTGTTTCTCTACATCTCCCCCTGCTCTTCCCTTCCCTTCCTTTCCTGAATATTCAGTACAAAAGGCATTAGGTGGGACCAAGGAAGGCAGGCATCACCATCAAAATGTGGGGTGGAAGGGAGCTGCAGCAGCACGGGGTGTCAAAGCCAAGGCAGGACGTGAACAGCAAGGAGTCCTGGGATGAAAAGGGAGAAAACTGGATAGAACCTTGATGTGCTGGATTAGGAATTGGAGGTACAGCCGTGAATTTAGGATTTCATAGATAAACATATTAGGTAGATAAAGAGATACAGAGGTATATAGAGAAATAAATATAGATATAATGTATTTACATAGAGGCATATGTATAATTATATCCCTTAGTGTTATTGAGTAAGAGGCTCTGGGAGCAAGACGTATATAGTTGTATTGTGTCAATGCTGGAAAGTGTTCTTGTTTGTAGAAAATACACTCTCAAGTATTCAAGAATGCTGAGACATAAGGTAAGCAACTTACTGCCAAACAGTTCAGGAGAAAGAAAAAATTCTTGCATTCGGAAATTTTCTTAAAGTCTGAGATTGTTTCAAGATAAAAAGAAAACTATAAATAAAAACAGCAGTGAGATATTGCTATACATTTATTAGAATGTCTAAAATCCAAAGGACATGTATTTTTTAAAACCTATCCTCTTTTGATTGGTAGTTACAAGATCCAGCAGACAGAAAGTCAGTAAGGATACAGCCAAACTGAACAGCACCATCGATCAGCTGAATCTAATTGACATTTTTAGACTACTTCATCCAACAACAGTAGAATACACAT